ATATATAATTATTTACTTTTAATACAGCTGTTTGCAATAATTCCGACCCCCTCTGCCATATTTCATATATATCAAACTGACCTTTAATATTATGGGATATCATGACTGATATATTTTTTGAGTTGTCCAGAATGAGTACTTTCTAAAAAAAATATCAGCAAATGGTATCCAATAATTTCTAAGGCTATTTTGATATATATGAATATTAGTGTAGGGAAGGGGGGGGGTGGTCAGAATTATCGCAAATAGCTGTATGTGGAGCAATTATTAAAATCCCAAGCAGACCTGATGAACACGCTATGCAAGTTTATCAAACCGTTTCAAAAACTCAAAAATTCTCAATCAATTATATGAAGTGTTATTTGAAAAGATTAAATCTCAAAAGACTTATTAAAATATTATTCAGATGGAYATATACATGTAAAATTCATGAGCAAAGGCAGTTAACGGTACAAGTGTACACATTTTGGTSCAACAAGTTTTTACTTACATGTACTTAAAATCATTATTTTTACATACCACGTTCATGTCTAACTTTCCATTCTGTTCTTGTACATCTGAGTATGGCTTCAGGAACTCTCTTCTAGATTCAGCTAATGCAAATGTCTTTTCAATACCTTTACAGTTATTAGATCTTTTTATGTAGCCCTGAAAAATTAGGAATGCATACCTTAGATTTGAATATTCCCATATTTTAAATCAAGGACATGATTTTTTTTAGCTTCCTGAAAGTGTTTTGAATCAGTACAACTTATTTTACCATTATAATTAAGGCTTTCACTAAAAACAAATGAACCAAACTCAAAGTTAGTAGAAGGGACTGTCATCTCACTTATAAAATATGCTTAATATATAGCTAATATATGATTTATTCAAATATGCTCTGACCTTTACTGCCCTTTCAAAAACTGCACACCAATAGTTGTCAGTAGCTGAAAATCTGTTGATATCTTCATGTATATGAAGAAGATTGTCCAGAGAAATGGTGCACATATGGAGGCCTTGTACTTCTTCTATTAAAATATTCAGACGCCATGCCAGCTGTTGATGGGCTTCACTCATCCTATTTGTCCAGCCATAYCTTCCACTGTTGAAATGCATTTCAGTCAACCTTGATATCAAATGCTGTATTTCTTGTTCTTGAAGTGCCTCTAACTTGTTGCTAAGTATACAATCGGCCATTGGGAATGAAAACTTCTGTAATCCCTCGGCCTTCCACTGTCCTAAAGTCCCGTTGTATCCTTGGATTGACTTGGGAAGTCTGCCACATTTTAGCTCTCTAGGCCATGAAAAGCCAATTATTTCCCTGTCAAGATACTTTTTGTCTACTAGGCCATAATTTAGGAGCCTTTCTGTTTGGTTTTTGACGACATTCAGACACACAGTGTGAAATATGTCAAATGTCAAGTCTTTAAGAATGTCAAACCCATACAGAGGATATAAGTATTTATGCAGAAGGCTTATTCCTGTAACTCCTGTTTCTGAGGACATCTTTTTCCTGACACTTATTCGTGATTCAACTTCAACATCATAGAGGTCTGTCAACATAAGAGAAATGTCACGACACTCCCACTTATGTCGGTAATGAACACGATTATCTCCATAGTACATGTGGTTGTTTGAATCATTCATTGGTAAATGTTGACCAACAAGCTTGCACCTACGACAAGCACATTTACCCTGGTTCAACAGCTTTCCAATCTCGCACTGTCCGGGATGATCTCCAGACCAACAAAGAAGTAAAACACGCACTCTTTTCAGGTTTGGTTCTGTTGGAATACTGACCTCGAAGCCATTAACAAATCCTTCACAGAGATCTTCCATAAGTGGTTGCAGAAATGGATCATAGGTTTGGGGTAGATTTGGAGTGGAGGCCAATGGAACAAAACMAAGAACATACACTTCATCTGTGTGGTTTCGCTGTTCTTTTTTACAATTAGCAATTGTGACTTCTAAAGATCCACAGCTTCTTGAGCTGGATGTGAATGCTTGCCACCCATCCCAGTGACCTATTAGAGCAATATTACGTGGACACCCAGAAGTGGTCTTGATAAGGTGTTCGAATGATTCCAGACATTCTGGGCAATCTACAAGTTTAATACCTTCTGTAACAGAATCCTGTGATTCAATTAATTGCTTGGCAGATATGGGAATACCACARTGGCTACAACAACATGGAACAACCCAGGTCTTAGTGGGGTCCCAAAACCACTSTAGCTCTACCCATCGATTTCCATCCCATATTTCCTTCTTTATGGGCCAGGCTTCTTCTCTTCCAAGCCAATGATCCCGTTCATCCCAGTGAGCAAGCATTTTTTTCAATGTGGTTTCATCCCGAAACCAGTTTTTTACTTTGCTTTTTAGACCAAGGTAATAATATGCAATATTGCCTTTTCTACCACAATACTTGCATTTGTCATCTTTGTTACACATTAAACTATATTTTCCATTGTATTTGATTTTATTGTTTGAATTTGCAGATTGAGTTTCGCTATGGCAAAAGCAAATAAAATATTCCCTGGCATCTTGATAACCCTCCTCTTTTAAGAGTGTTTGGACATCATTCCATGAACGTGGCCACAATGTTATCAAAATATCTTTATCAAAGAGCTTTTCATCTTGTGAAGATGAATCCAACAGTAACCTTTTGCCATATTCTAAAATATCTTCAAATGTTTTTATTGAGACCCCACTGTTTTTTTGGATTTTTAGTGCATTTAACACAGCATCAATTACAAGTTTTTTCAGAGGGTTTGAATCATGATGAGTCAAACCCGGGAGAGCCTCGTCTTCGATTGTATCTACATTCGGTGATGGAACTTCTTGACAGCCATTGGTTCCGCTTTCTAAAATGGTGTTATCATTATCAACATCTTCACTTTCATACAAACTTTCTTCTACATCAAYGTCCATAGACTCATGATCAGAACTCCCAGCTGTAYTTAAGCTTGTTTCGTGCATAGATTCAGATTCGATTGTTGGATGAAAGGATGTTTCCAGGGCAGCTCTGTTTGCTTCTTGCCAGTGTCTCAGTTCAGTTTTTCRGTCAGTTGCGCGAGCATTGCATGTACTACAAGGACAGTGGACATGGCGGTRGTTTTTTTCGTTGCAAGTGCAAGAAGAAAYGTCACTTCTTTTCCACATATTGATTTTAAAACTGCTCTACTAGTTTTCGAATTTTCCCGCCATTTTGATATATAACCACCGCTGGCCAGTACTTGCAACACAGGAAGTCCAATCCTCTGACAGAGTTTGCTTGGGAACGAGTCTACTCCTGGCGGGAAAAGTTTAACCAATCACCATCACTTTTACGTACACGAAAAAGGCTAGCCAATTAGAAGTTTCCGTCTAAGTGGGCGTGCTCTGGGCATGTATGCTTAAAATTGCATAGCTTTCATCTTCTTGTTTGCCTGTAGTTCGGTTTGGAGTAAAGGGTTGTTTGATCAAAAATGGCCAATTGCAATACTAGTACTACTGACGGTACAAATGAAACAGATGAAAGTGCCCAAAGCCTTTTACAGAYGAGATTAAGAAGTCTTTTTGGAGAAGCCATAGCGAAGGCATTTGAAGGTGRGGTAGATGAAGAAATCGCACACGTTTAACGACCTCGTCAAAAGTAAAGCGCCTMTAAAATGGTTTCCAACGGCTTTAGCTCAATCAAATATGTGTTTATTTTCACTCAAGATTTCCTCGGTGATTTCTATGGAGTAGATATAAGATTTAATTGAAAATGTTTGCACTCWAAGTTTTGGCGCCAAAACATGCAAGAACCCGAAGAGAATGCACTCGCGTCGCCATTTTGCTCACGGAAAAAGTTGAAACTTCAGGCCTCAGATTTTGAAACGCTTATAATCGGGGATGTAATGAGCTTCTAATTGTGAATTTCTTTCACTAATTTATAAACGGACTAATTTCCACCAAACAGATCGCTAAACGATTGTGTGTGGTGTTGTTGTTTTTTTAACAGACGAAGATATAACAGATGAAGGAGCTTTTAAAGCATTACTCAGAGAAAATAATGACGCACAAATCTTCAACAAGCTCGGTCTTACTTTTGGCAAAGTGGTTAAGATCAAAGAGGAGTTTAAAGAGTTTCTCCCAAACGTTTCACAAGAAGCTCGAGAAAAGTCTTCCAG